TAGCTCTGCAGCAACAGACACACACACACACACACACACACACACACACACACACACACACACACACACAGAGCAGAAGATGTGAGCATTTAATAACAGATGGACACATTTCAAATGAGTTAAATCCCAAAGAATAAGTAAAGAAACCGGGTGTGTTTGTTTTAATGCAAAAATGAAATTCCCTCCATTCTTGAATCTTGAATCTTGAATTCTTTGGATGCTGATTCTTTTATGCCTTTTGTCCGTTAATAATAGGCACAAGAGCTATTTGATGAGTATTTTTGTACAAAAATGTGTTTGTTTTGTGTTTTCCAGGGTGGAGCACTGTCTCTCTACACGGCTTTGACAACCCAGCAGAAGCTAGCCGGTGTGGTCGCTCTCAGCTGCTGGCTCCCTCTCCGCAAGTCCTTCCCTCAGGTAAAAAAAAATTAAACACGACGCAAATTGCAAATTAAATTAACTAATGAAGTAGTTCAGTAAATACTAAAACATACATTTAAAGGAACTGTTCACCTGAAAGCTCAGATTCCTAATTTTGTCTAAAATGTAATGTTTCATCTTTTATTTCCTCAGAACTGTGGCCCCTTATGTTCAGTTTCTTTTTCTTGAATTACGGTTTAGGGATATCCCATAGCCAAGACATAATCTGTCATAATCAGATAATAAGAATAATCCTAATCTCTTCTATTCTCAGGCCTCCGCCAACAGTGCTAACAAGGACATGCATGTCCTACAATGCCACGGGGATTCGGACCCCCTGGTCCCCTTTATGTTTGGCAGCCAGACAGCCGAGAAGATGAAAAGCCTCATCAATCCGTCCAACATCACCTTCAAGTCGTACCGAGGTCTACCTCACAGCGCCTGTCCAGAGGTCAGTGTGTGGCTGGGAACAAGTTGACTCTGGAGCTCCAGCATGCGTCCTGTATTGTATAAATATATATGTTGTCTTATTTTGTATCCGTGCAGGAAATGGTGGATGTTAAACGATTCATAGAGAAGCAGCTTCCTGCCATCAGCAACGAGTGAACTCCGGAGTAGACGCACGACCGCACAGCAACATCTGAGTCCTTTGGGCTTGACTCCAGTGAGGGGACTCCACGGACTTGAGGAACCACTGACTTACTTGACAACAAAACCACGCTGCTACTCTTAGAGCCAGACAGGACTGGGGCTACACGTTAGCCCGGGGCAGGCATGACTGTAAACGATGCTGCACCCTGACCTGGAGCCACACACCAGTACTCAGTGTTACAGTAGAGTAACATTAGTTGCTTGATTGTTAAGATATTTGACATTGAGACAAGCCATTTCCTGCGGGAAACGTATGTATTGGAATGACTAGGGCTATATGGTTTAATACCGACTATCTCACAATAAATGGCCTGTTGTTAAATGTTCTTTTATTTTATTTTTTATTAATGTAGCCTCTGTGTTGTAGTGCTGAAACAAGTTTATTAGTTGGTTAGTTAACAGATTTAATTAAGGAATTTTAGGAAGAAAAAAACAAACTTCCAGCTTCTTAAATTTCCAGATTTCTTCCTTTTTTTTAAAATGATTGTAATTGTAACATTCTGGCATTTTGGATTTGTTGTAACATGTGATGGAGATTTTTCAGTATTTTTGACATGAATTGAAAAAATAAGCTAATTTTAATGGGAATAATAATTTTTTTGCAGCTCTAATCTGTAGAATATCTCATTAGTTACACAAAATCTTAACAAAAAGCATTTTCAAACAAAGCACATATGCAAAAATAACATTAAATGGGACCTATTATGCTAATTTCCAGCTGTATATTTTTATTCTGCATGATTCACAGTTCAACAAAATCCTTATTTGTCTTATACGGACCCTTTATGCAGCTCTCTGAAGCTGTTTTTAGCTCCTGTCTCTTTAAGATCTACCTCTGTTACCTGATTGGCCAACTCCCGGGGGTAAAGCATAATAGGTCCCTTTCAAAAGTTCAATATTAATGCAGCTTAATATGCAAATATAAAGCATTTCCGTGTATCATAGGAAAGAATATTGATTATGTGAATGTTGACAACACACAAGAGCAAGAACAACATACGATTGTGCTTTATTAAATTTGTGAGAATTCAAATAGCTATTTCACACAAATTCCTTTTTAAATACACAAATATATCAGTGGTCATGGTCATGTATTCAGTTTCTTTTTCCCTGTTTTGTTTAAATTAAATATAATATGACTAATATCACAGTATTGAAACACACAGACAAGATCTATTTCCGGGTATCAGCTCGTTGAGTTGTAAAAACTTTAATCTTTGAGAAGAGCTGAAAGCACCAACATATGAAGTCATTGTCGCACCATTCATGTTAGACCAAAGGTGCTATTGTAGAAGATCTTATTCCAAGGCACTTTCCTTCTTCTTAAGTTACTGTTAAATAAAACCTACTAGTTTCTACAAGAACTGGATATGCATTAAGGCTCACAATATACCTAAATACAAATGCAGTGCTCACAGATACATGCGTTCCCTCATTAAACAAGGTAGAAAAGTGCAATGTCAAGCGCTAGGGAATATATAAAAATATAGATATGTTTTCGAACAAGTAACTGATGCTGGATGTAGCATTTGTTCTTGTTTGCTCCAAGTATTTTGGTAAGCTAATCATGGGTAAATAAACAGCAGTTACAGCTGGATAAAGACCGGTTTTAAGTAGTGTTCATTTTCCTGTCTGTCTTTTCTCTAAATAGCAGGACTCCAACAGGAACACAAAACTCCTTCGGGTGGGACGCATGCGCCATTTTGAAAAGCTAAGTGTGTGGCAGTGGAGAGTCTATGGCTCAGGGGGAGGCTCCTCCAGGCTCTTCAGCAGATCTGTGTACGCAGTTGAGTTTATGTAGCGGGGGTACGAGTCTCTCTGCATCAGCGTGTAGATCTGCTGCTGAGCGTCCTCGAACGTGTGCGAGGTCGGCTCCAGCATGTTGCGGTTTATCACCTCTCGGACGCGAGAATCCAAGCTGACCTGGAGAAGATGAAGCAGATTGTTGCAGCTCGGTTAAATGCACACACGTCGTATAGAGATCCAGAAACCATTAGTTGATTGATCAGTTTGTTCACCAATAATAAATTAAAGGGTATCTGAATGCCCAGTTTCTGCCCTCCTCCTGATTGCATCGTCAGGTTTAGCTAGCATGGATAGTAATGTTTGGGGACTGATCGTTGGACCCGAAAGTTGATTTTCAGACAGCCCCGCTGCTCCGAAGTATTTTTATCTTAGTGTATTTGGGTTAGAATAAGTACATTAGTTATGTAAGTTAAGTTACTTACATAAGTTGGTGACACCAGAGTGTGTATTTATGCAGGCCTTCGGAGCAATGGCCTGCTGACTACCTGTCAGCAATTGGCCCAATGGGACATTTTTTCGGACTACTGGCATACCACCTAACAATTATCAGGGCCTCTAAAGGATCACAAGATGCAGAGGACTTACTGTATCTCCACCAGAGCCTCTAAACTACTTTTTTAAATTAATATTTTGGGGGATTTTGGACTGTTGGTCGGACTGTTGGTCAGACAGTTAACAACCAATTTGAAGATGTCGTCTTTTTTTCTGACATTGTATGAACAAAACAAATTCACCCTAACCCATCATGAGAATTAACTGCAGTCCTAAATTATTATTTTAATCTTGTTAATTCTGTAAGATGTCAGACAATACTGGAAAATGGCTACCACAATTTCCTAAAGCCTGAGATAATGTCTTTAAAACAGTCCCCCGAACACATTAAATGCACACTGATATAAAACAGAAAAAAGCAGCACGTCTTCACATTTAAGAACCTAACACCAGAAAGCATTTTTCCTTGATTAATGACTTACTTCATTATAATTAGATTGTTTAATTAGTTGATGATTGATTTTCTGTCGATCGACTATTATTCTAATAATTTCAGCACTGTAGTCATTGTAGCCTTGGCGGCTCACCTCTTTAGGGGAAAGGATTGAGATGAAGTCCTCGTATATTTGACGGACTTTCTCCTCCACCACAGTCTTGTTGGTCTCCTTTTTGAGCTCCTCGCAGGCGAGCCAGAACATCATGTTCTCCTCGCTGAACTCTGTCCGCAGGAACTGCCTGAAGCAGCCGCGACCCGCTGCACTTTTCATCACCCTCTCAAACGACACTGACCAGGAGCGAGCGTCTTCCAGAGTAGGCTTTGGGCTTAAAAGTAAAAAAGAACAGCGCACATATTGGTTCATTGTTATTTAATTTTCTCAGTAATGGCACATCATATAAAAAGACTGGTTCTTGGAAGGGTCACAGTGCCATTACCTTTCTTCACAGTTAGTGGTTCCCTCTGTCCTGTGCTCAAAAGTGGACCTCTGTATTGTCTCATCCTCACTCCTCACAGTCAAACTGGAGGGAAAAAACACAAAGAAACTGGTTTTGCTTCGAACAACAGGCCATAAATAGCTCGTCATCCAGTTTTGACTTGGCACCAGGATACAGAAACCGAACATTTAAAATAACTCAAGTCTCTTAATGTCATCCTTTTTTTTACTAAAAATAAAACAGTGGGTTAGAACATGAAATCACACTTGATACACTACATGGTCAAAAGTATGTGGACAACTGGACATTAAACTCTTAAGTGATTTTTGAGCTACTCATTCTTAAACCTTTGGTATTAATATACATATATAAGTCTTCACTGAAGGTTGGGCACTGATTTTGGGGTCCTGACTCACAGTTGATGTTACATTTCATCCAAAAGATGTTTGATGGGTTGAGGTGAGGACTCAGGCCAGTGAAGTTTTTAGCTCCCAAAAAAGTGTTTTTCTAACAGATTAGACTTTGCACACAGGGTCATTGTCAAGTTAAAACAGGAAAGAGCTTCCCCCAAACTACTGGAGCATGCTATTGTCTAAAACATCATTTCAAACTATAGCTGTAAGATTTCCTGTGAAGGAACAGTTTGACAATTTGGGAAATGCGTTTTTTGTGCATCCTTGCTGCGAGAGAGATGAGAATCTTGATGCCACTCTCATGTCTGTATGAAATCAGAGCCAACCAAACGGTAAACCTCTGTGACTGGCACGGAAATATCAAAATACTGCAGTTTCTTGAACTGCCACTTGAGGCTGGATATTAAAATGCCCAACTTTACAGCAGAAATAAACATGTTTACAGCCTGATAAGAAAAAATGGTTTTGGTCTCTATAGCTAAATACTTAGGACTGCCAAGATGGCGACCACACTGAGCTTCACAACGGCTCTTCAGAAACATATGGGTGACGTCAAAGAGACTATACGTCCGTTTTTGTTTCAGTCTATGGAGCCAACAGAGAGTTAGCTTAGCCTGGCCCTGTCCAAATGTAACAAAAGACGCCTACCAGCGCCTCTGAAGCTCAGTATTAACATGTAATATCTCGTTTGATTAATCCATACAAAATTACAGAGTAAAAATAACACTTGGCGCCTCCTGGAGTCGGGTTTCCAGGCACCCAACAAAGACTCAGGAACTTGGCCTTTTCCAAAATGTCAAACACAAGTGTAGCCCGAACCATGAAAACAGCCCCAGAAACAACATTGTCACATATCAACTACAGCGTAACAATCAATCAAATATGTTGTTTGTTCCATGTTTGAAGTAACAGAACACCTACAGAAGATTCAAGGTGATCTACTGGGAACGTTGGGAACGTTGGCGTAAATAGTTAAGTGTGTCAACTGTCCACATCATCCTGTGGGGATCTCCAGTGCGTAATTAAAATGTCCCCAACACCTGATGTAGCAGCTGGCTGTGGACTAATTGGCTCAGGTGAGAGTCCACTGTGAGCCATCCCATCTGGGAATGTGGCTGTTGTAGCTGTGCAACAATTAGATGGAATTGATACAGATGTAGAGACAAAACGTATTACTCATCCCCAGTGGAGTGAATTAACATGGCCATGTTCTGCACACAACAGGTTGGCTGTTCTCAGAGGAAGCACAAGTAAACGGTTGATGAGTCCAAAACAGATTAAAACCCCTGAGGCCTCCGTTCAATGAGATCCAGTGCGGGTCACAGGACCACTGTGTTTCTGTTTTTCTGGGATGATGGCGTGGGCTGTGGTGTTGTTGAATGGGTGGGAGGATGGAAGCAAGAAGGAGGTCATATCCGCTATTGAGCTGCTACTACTAAATGAGGCCGAGAGGGAGATCTTCGTGTTATAAAATTATGCAGTATGCTGCTATGTCATATTATTTTTTAAGTGTCTAGTACATAATGTGTGATTTTCCACTGGACTTTTAAAAAAGAAAAAAAGAAGAAATTACAAATCTGGAAAACAAAATTTCTGCCTATAGAATTCCTCTGATCAAATACATCATTAAACTCACACGTGTTGAAAATGTTCCACCAGCGTAGACTCATCTAATGTAGTGCCAACATTTTCCAAAGCATGAACGAAAGACTCAACAAAAGAATGTAGACTAGGGCTGCAATTAAAGATTATTTCCATCATCAACTCATCTACGGATTATTTTCTTGATTAACTGATTGATTATTTTGTATAGAAAATGTCAGAAAATCACAAAAGATTCCCACAATGCCTTAATTTGTCTGACAGCACCAAGATATTTGGGGTATAAAACAGAGAAAAAGAAGCAAATATTCACGTTTGATTTGTTAATTTAGCCATTTCTTGCCTTTAAAAGTAGCATGTTGAATTATTGCATTTCCTGCATATTAACTAATTCCAGCTCTTCTCTGGGCCACTCTGGTTCTTAAACAGGGGCATTTATCCTCAGAAACACAGTACAGCAGCTATATAATCTTATATAAATTAGAAGAAGAGGTATTTGTATCTTCTAAAAGAGGTAACATTGACAAATGAAGAACAAGCAGGTATCTATAATGGATGAATGGGTAGCAAATGAGCAGCAGCATCATTTCAACCTCTCTCCAGGAGAAAACAGACATTCAGAAGGCTTCGCTGGAGACAGTAAAGGAGCCTTAGACCACATATCTCCCTGTCTCCAGCCCTGCTGTGTGGGAAGAAGCTGTGTTATTACCAGGAGCAGCTACAGCAGCAGCACCAGCAGAAGCAGCAGGCGTTTGAGGCGTTGGTGGGGGTGTTTCCCATTCTGTGGCGCGCTTGGAGGACACTGGCAGCTGCTTCCTCATGAACCTGCATCTGTCTCTTACGCATCTCCACCCGCTCTGAGCCCATGGACTGCGAGGAGAAAGACCAACAGTGAGAGGAGGCCAGGGGAGGAGGGTGGGTTAGGGGGTTAGGGGTTTACTGGAAGATTATTACCGCATTAGGATGGAACATGAACACACACACACAAAATCACAAAATGCAAGAAATCACAAGAGATTAAAGATCTGACAGGAGCCGTGCAGACCCAGGAAGCCCCCCCCTCTAAAAGAAGAGAGAATGAATTAAACCTGATCGATAAAGCAATCGCACATCCTGTTAATGATGATGGCCAAATGCAACCACCAGTATCGGAAGGTCCTGCGGAATGCGCGGCCACTTCACGACCATGACGCGTGGGGTCAACTCCTGTGCAATGCAACGTCAATAAATCGACATTATTTTTTATTTATTTATTTATTTATTTATTTTCATACTCAAGAAACGAGGCGTATGGTGCGTTTAGGTGCTCATATATCGGCCAATGCAAATTGCTCGTAAAAAGCCAATGGCAAATGTCCTACCGGTCTGTTGGATCATGCTGAATGTAACACAACCAAATTGTGATGAGCAACAACCGCCCTCCTCCTCTATCCTCTCCTCATCTCTTCCTCTCCTCTTCCTCTCTCTGTGTGTCTATGAGGGATGAGCAGTAATGATAGCGACAAGGCGTTACTGTTGGACCGCAGCAATCGCATCCATCAGTCGCATTCACGGGAGGATGCACACTCACACACACACACATCCACACACAAACACACACACATGATGGTCGATTCAAGACAAGCCCCCTGAAGCAAGAAGCATGCAGCCATTTATAGAAACATAATGAAATTATTTGATCAGATGAGCTGATAATTTACAGTCTGAAGATTCTTTCTTTCAAAGCAAAGCAGCAGCAAAAAAAAAAAAGAAAAAAAAAGAAAAAGCAGCAGCAAATATTTGATGATTTTTTATCCTTTTGGTGGCAGATCACAATATGAAGATGAATCCTGACTATTTCTGCTTGCTGGAATATCCACATGAAGATGCTCCAGCCTCACTGGATCCTGAAATTCATCCGCCTTATCCCCCCCATCCTCTCTCCCCTCTCTCTCTCCCCCCTAAATAAATGCACAAACGCGAGGGTTCACGCTGATCTCTGAGAGGCCTTCACGGTCCGGAAAAGTCTAACATAAACGTGTACTCACTGTGTCACCATGAATGCCAGAATACAGGTGATTTTTGGCTCGATCACATCCGTCTGCCTCGACTTGACACAAACCAGTTGGGTTTTCCTCTACGCGCATGCGTCTCCTGCAAAGTGTGAAGATTTTTCTGCGCCGTGCGTTAACGGCCAGGACACAATGTGCCTCTTCTGCACAGACGGAGGCTGACAGACGATCACATAGATGCACAGATGATGTTTAGATATTAGATTATTGATTACTGGTCTGTAACTCTCTGTTTGGAGATACGTTGTTGTTGTGTTATAAATGCAGTTTCAGGTATTGGGGTTCACTTTCCACTAAATTATGATGAAATTACCTATTTTTTGCTCCCACAATTAAACCCTTATGAGGGATCATTCATAAAACAGCATAGCAATTCAGGAATGAATCAATATTGCAAGGCAGCTTCATGATTCCTGGCTGTCAGGCTGTCAGGTTTTTGGAAATGCATTCCTTTTAAACTTGACATGGGTGGATGGGAAGAAGTTCTGGACGCCGAGGCTCTGAATAATTCATCCAAACATCTGGAAACCCCAAATTCCCCGCATGTGCATCTTCATCTCCCCCTCATGCGACCCTGGAGAGCCAGTACCGCATGCGGCCACCAGAGGGCAGTAGCGATCCATTTAAACACGCATAGTGGAAAGTGTGTGTGTGTGTGTGGGGGGGATCTATTTGCTGGGGCCCAGAAAAAAGGATGAAGAAAACAAGTTCCAGAGAGTTAAAACCTGATGATGTGAGTGAAAGACAAAAAAACAGAGATTCTTCAAACTGAATTATAAACCAAAAACACTGCATGGTCTCTGTTTGGCCTTCAGGACTCTCTCTCTGTGTGTGTGTGTGGTGTTGGTGTGTGTGTGTGTGTGTGTGGAGGGTGAGCCAGTGTGGTGCACTCGGGCTCCCCGCAGGGCCGGAGAAATGGATCGAATGAGCTCCTCCTGAGCGAACTCCACCTCTCTTAGACATTTCTGACGAACCAGCAAAAGTGTTTGAGATTATTTATTTATTTATGAATAATAAATGAAACCTATTCTATTTCTTTTTTTCTTCTTTCAGTTAAGTTAAACTTACAGTCTAAATGCTTGCTGTGGTGGAAATTTATTGAGACTATAAAAGCAGCAACAGGTGTTGATTTCTGGCGACCCCTGTGGACAAAAGCAGAAGTGTTTACACTGCTTCGTTTCATTTGATTTCAAGGGGAATCCGGACATAGTGGCAGGCATTAAGAATAACTTAAATATATAATATAGAGTCATCAGTATTAACCAGTTACAAACTCCTTGGAGAAGGTTTATGTTAAGTAGGTTTTCCCATTGAAGTCAGTTTATATTGGACTGCATTTATCTGACAGCCATCGTTAGTAGTTATTAAGTTGTATTTGGCCCCTTGTCCCACTTCAGATGTTTATGAGACGTTACATCAAAGAGACATTTACCGTTTAAACTTCTCACATGGCTTCATTGAACTGTTTATTTAACCAAAGAGGTCAAATTATACAGAAAATTCCACAAATATGAACTTTCTCCAACAGATTAATCACCTCACAATACATAATAATTATTTCCATTATCGAATAATGTGAGGATTATTTTCTTGATTGACTTATTGATCGTTTGTATAAACAATGTCAGCAAATCATGAAAGATTCCCACAGTGCAATAGTCCAAATATCTTTGGGTATAAAACAGAGAAAAAGCAGCAAATATTCACTTTTGATTTGTTAATTGCTGATTTATTTTTTCCATTTCTTGCCTAAAAAAGAGACTTATTGATTTGTTGCTGATTAATTTCCTGTATATTGACTAATGGATTAATTGTTTTAGCTCTATTCTGGACTTAAACACCTTTTGTTGTTGATTTTAGACCTCTGCTTCTAAAAGAGGATGTTTTTAAGAGGTAATATTGATTGATAATATATAAATTTTCTTCCTTTCTACTCGATTAATCACCTCACAACCTTTCAGTTTTATCCTGCGACCCTCTGGAGGTGGCTGAACCCTAGTTTGGGAACCACTGGACAAAACTGTATATAAAGCGGTTCAAAATGTGCTCCAACTCAACTAGCTGCAACTATAAATACAACAGGCTTTAATCTAATAAGGTAATATATGAGAATCTGCAGAACCAGTACTTTATGTGTGTCGTCTGTGGAGTATTTTTATATTTAATCAAGTGAAAGATCTTCTTCCGCTACGGAAATGCTGTTTAATTGAATTTGTTTATCACCAGAAAAAGCCAAAACTTTAAATACAGTGAGTTCAAAATATCAGACTCAGCCTTAAATAACCGGTCATGTTTAATTTATGTATGTAAAACTCCTCATTTTGTCAAAACCCCCCAAGATCCGTTCTACACGAGTAAACTGATCACTAATTAAAAGTGTTAAATTAATTTTAGATGCTGTTTGTTTGTAGTCACAGACAGCAACTATCCCTTCATGAAAGTGTTACTTCAGTGTTATAACGCTGGATAATCTGACCAAAGCAGAACTTCTGTATCTCACTGCAGTGCAGCCACACATATATACATATATACTATCTTCCACACACATAGAGGAGGAAAACTAATCAAATTGAATACATTTTCGAATTCCTGCTCCCAGAGTTCACTGCACAGCACATATTGTTGAATGAGATTACCCGTCTGCAGCTGAAGTTGCAAATACGCCATTGGAAATATGCTAAATGGTGATTGCGGCACAGGAGGAATATCCATCGCCTTCCACTTTGTGTGTGTGAGCTATAAAACAAATTCAATATACAGAGAAATCGCCCTCTCAAAGCCTTTATAATAAATCATACATCTCATAGCTGTAGAAATCTTTGAAAGGAATTGCCTCTTAAATGGACCCCATGCTCCCTGAAGAGATGGTGTAATCTATCCCTGAAACATATAAGCATACACGTGAATCTTTTAATCTTTTCACCTATATATACTGTCAGCAAATCTAGCTCTACTGTATGTGTATCGTTTTCTGAATTCAATACGGTATCAGTTTCAGAGCTTGCATCCTTGGACGAAAGAAAATCCAGCCTTCCAGAACACATTCGGTAAATCAGCCAACCCGGCTGTCTGCTCGGGCCGTTTACAACTCAGTGGATATGTGCAGTTACATTCACTCTGGTTATTATGTTTCCCATTTTCCCATTCTGAAGCTGGATTCATTACTAGTCATTATTCCTGCTTTTGGCAGTGAGTGAAAATCTTTTAATAAGTTGAGGCTCAAAAGCAATCGGTTTTCACCCCCTTTTTTTTGCGTTACACAGTGTGAGCCTCCCTCCAGAGTTTATCGCAGAGCCACAGAGGTTTCTGCTGTAATGACTCCTCTTCATTTTTTATCCAGTTGATTAAATGCTTTTTCTTACCCCATAACTTGGCCGTGCTCGACTGTTGGATATCTGAGTGAGATGGGAGGCACATTGGGGCTCTGCTGCACAACACGGTGAGAGGTGAGGACATCTGGATATGTCCTCAGATAAATCACTTACACTGTTGAAGCATACGGTCTGATTGAGAGATTTATTTTTACCCTTCCCAAACCAATTGTATCAGTCTGACTCAGCAGAAGCAGGTCATTAACCATGGGAGAGGAAGGACAAAAAAGTTATAGTGACGGTCCAGATATTTGATTACATTCACATTATTTTAAACATCTTTACTTTGAATTCATAAGCAGCACATGAACAATAAAAACATGGTTTATAAAACACTGACACAAAATAATGCAGGAAAAATATATACTTACTTTACTTACTTGTAATACTTACCTATTTCTCCTGTGCTTTTATATCTAACATATATTAATAAAGTGTTTATGTATTTAAAAAAAATACTTCTACTTCACCCTCCAGGACAACTGAGCTAATACTGGCTGCTGTTATGTAGAAGAAACTGTTATA